GGTCTCTCACAAGGGGGGTTTGGGGTCCCCTCCCCATCCCGGGGGTCTCTCACAGGGGGGGTTTGGGGTCCCTCACAGGGGGGTTTGGGGTCCCCTCCCCATCCCGGGGGTCCCATCCCGGGGGTCTCTCACAGGGGGGGTTTGGGGTCCCTCACAGGGGGGTTTGGGGTCCCCTCCCCATCCCGGGGGTCCCATCCCGGGGGTCTCTCACAGGGGGGTTTGGGGTCCCTCCCCATCCCGGGGGTCCCATCCCGGGGGTCTCTCACAGGGGGGGTTTGGGGTCCCCTCCCATCCCGGGGGTCCCGTCCCGGGGGTCCCTCACAGGGGGGTTTGGGGTCCCCTCCCCATCCCGGGGGTCCCATCCCGGGGGTCTCTCACAGGGGGGGTTTTCTGAGCCAGCTCCCGGTTCAGGCGGTCGGTGAAGCCCTGCAGCAGCGTGTTCCCTCCGGTGACAATGACACTGCCGTAGAGACCCTGGGTGGGGGGCGACACGGCAGGGACCAGCGGGATGTGGGGGGGGTCCCTGCCGCCCCCCAGACCCCCCGGATGTGGGGGTCCCTGCCGCCCCCCAGACCCACCGGCCGGATGTCGATGTCGCACATGCCGATGCTGGTGGTGACCACGTGTCCCACGCCCAGCATGGTGTTCCCCGAGAGGCCCTGGGGAAAGGGGGGGGTCAGGGGGTCCCAAAAACCCCCACGGGACCCCCAAAACCCGCTGGGACCCCCGAAACCCCCCTGGGACCCCCGAAACCCCAATGGGAACCCTTCAACCTTGGCACTGGAAGAGTCAGAGGGCCCCCAGACAGGCAGAACCCGGGGGTGGGGGTCCCCTAAACCCCCCAGGACCCCAAATCCCCCCTCAGAGACCCCCCCGGACCCCCAAACCTTGACGTTGGAGGGGTCGAAGAGCCCCTCGGGGATGCGGAGCCGCTCGGCCCCGTAGTCGGTGTTGTACCCGTTGGGCATCTCGTAGTGAACCGTGGGCATCTGCGCCGCCACCCTGGGGTGAAAACGGCCGGTTTTGGGGTCCCCCCACCCCAAAATCCCCCCCCGAGCCCCCCCGGGGTCCCGGCACTCACTGCTCGTCGTAGGGTGAGTCCGAGACCTGCAGCACCGAGGCCTGGAAGTCCTGGATCACCTCCTGGGGGGACAGGACCCCAAAAAAGGGGGTGGGGGATCAGGGGGACCCCGCCCCCCACTCAGGGACCCCCCAAAATCCCCCCACTCACGTTGCAGGTGAAGTTGTGCCAGGACTTGGACACCTGGGGCAGCTTCTCCTTCTTCTTCCAGCTCGGGGGGGCCCCTTCCCGCACCGGCTCCTGCGGGAGGGAGGGGCGCGGCCGTGGGGGCGTGGCCAGCGTGCAGAGGGGCGTGGCTTTGAGGTAATTATGCAAATGAAAAGGGGAGGAGCCTCTGCTGGGTTGGAGTAGGAGGAGGAATCTAAGGGTGATGTCACTTGAGGGGTGGGGCTAAGTGGTAGCGCTGCCCAATGGGGATGTGATCTCAAAGGGGTGGAGCTAAGGGACACACCCACTCCAAACTGGGCGGAGCTAAAACATTTTGTCTGCCTAGAAGGGGTGGAGCTAAATGAGCCCACCACAAAAGGTGGGGCTAATGATAACCCCACCCACAAGTGGGAGGGGTGTTGTGGTTGGCCCCGCCCTCCCTGATTGGCCCCGCCCACCGCGGCGGCGATCATGTAGGGCGGCACGATGTCGATGTTGAGCTCCTGGAAGAGCTCCCGGCACTGCATGGAGATGAAATCCCCGGCCAGCGGCGACTTGACGATGCCTGGGGGCGGGGCCGGCGTCAGGCCCCGCCCACCGCTCACCTGGGACAGCTGGGCGCTCACCTGCCCGGGGGGCGTGGCCATTGCGCTCGTCCCCGGCCAGCGCTCACCTGTCCCGGGTGTGGCCTGGGTGTGTGCCCAATACCCCAGGTGTGTCATGGGTGTGGCCTGGGTGTGTGCCCCGTGCCCCAGGTGTGTCATGGGTGTGTCCCCAGTGCCCCAGGTGTGTCCTGGGTGTGGCCTGGGTGTGTCCCCAGTGCCCCAGGTGTGTCTTGGGTGTGTCCCCAGTGCCCCAGGTGTGTCTTGGGTGTGTCCCAGCTGTTCCTCCCCTGCCCAGGTGTGTCCCCACCATGCCCAGGTGTGTCTCCGCCGTGCCTGTGCGTGTCCAGGTGTGTCCCATGTGTGTCCCAGGTGTGTCCCAGCTGTGTCCCAGGCGTGTCCCTGCCGTGCCCAGGTGTGTCCCATGCGTGTCCCAGCTGTGTCCCAGCTGTGTCCCAGGCGTGTCCCCGCCGTGCCCGTGCGTGTCCAGGTGTGTCCCAGGCGTGTCCCTGCCGTGCTCAGGTGTGTCCCAGGTGTGTCCCTCCCCTGCCCCAGCTGTGTCCCACCCAGGTGTGTCCCAGCTGTGTCCCATGCGTGTCCCAGCTGTGTCCCAGCTGTGTCCCAGGTGTGTCCCCGCCATGCCCAGGTGTGTCCCTGCTGTGCCCAGCTGTGTCCCAGCTGTGTCCCAGGTGTGTCCCCGCCATGCCCAGGTGTGTCTCTGCTGTGCCCAGCTGTGTCCCAGCTGTGTCCCAGGTGTGTCCCCGCCGTGCCCAGCTGTGTCCCATGCGTGTCCCATGCGTGTCCCAGGCGTGTCCCAGGCGTGTCCGCGCCGTGCCCACCTTGCTGCAGGATGTAGCCGTCGTGCACGGGGATGGCCGTGGTGTGCGTGGCGCCCGAGTCCAGCACCAGCCCCGTGCTGCGCCCGTTGGCAAAGCTGCGCCCGTCAAGGGCCACCACGGGCGGGGACACACCTGGGACACGCCCCCGGCCACGCCCGACCGCCCCCGGGGTGTGCCGTGGGGTGACACCGAGGTGACACTGGGGTGACACTGAGGTGACCCAGAGGTGGCATGGGGGTGACACTGAGGTGACACTGGGGGTGACCAAGGGATGACACAGCACTGACACTGGGGGTGACACTGAGGTGACACAGAGGTGACCCTGAGGTGACATGGAGGTGACCCCGCAGTGACCCAGAGGTGACACGGAGGTGATCCTGTGGTGACACAGAGATGACATGGAGGTGACCCCGCGGTGACCTGGAGGTGACCCAGAGGTGACACAGAGGTGACATGGAGGTGACCCCACAGTGACCCGGAGGTGACAGGGAGGTGACATGGAGGTGACCCAGAGG